TTTCTCCTCCTGTTGTCGTCCCTCTTCCCGCAGCGGCGGCTGCTCCGGCTCCGTTCGGAGCAGCGGGGCCGGGAGCTCCCGCGGCTCCACGCAGCCCCCGGCGCCCTCCCCTTCCCAGGCAGGCGCCTGGGGGTCTGGACCCACCACCCCCGTTCCGGCCCTTTTCTTCTGTTTGTCCCTTAATTTTTCTTCCCCCTGGCCCAGTGTGAGTGGGGTCAGTGGGCTGGAGAGTTGAGAAAGAAATAGAAAAAAAGACTTTTTTTTTGTGAAATAGAAATTCTATACGCACAATTTTGGTTCTTTTATTTTTTTTTTCACTAATTTAAGCATTGCGGGGCTGGGGCGCCCCTCCCTGCCCCTCTTGTGCCCCCCTCTTGTTTTGCCAGGGCTCTCTTTGGGTGTCCGCTTCCTACGGGATCACACGTGTCCCGCGGCCCCCCCGGCCTTGAGGAGCCGGGACCCCCGGAGCGAGACCCGCCGGCTCCCGGGGCAACACTGTGAAACGGGGACGGGGGGGACAGCGTGAGGAAACCCGTTAAAAACCATAAAACCCCCCACAGAAGTTACCGAAAGCGACACGTCTGTGCCCCTTCCCGCCTTGTTTTGCGCCCCCCGTTGTCCGTTGTACCCCATACTTTTATACCATTTCTAATGTGTAAAATGGGTTGTCTTGTAAATATCTTATTAAAAAACAAGCAAAAACATTGAAAAAAAAAAAAAAGTTGGTTGTAAATAAAGGCTCTGGTGCCAGTTGTTGAGCCGGGGCTTGCGCAGTGTTTTTGGGGGCGTTTGCGGTGCTTTTGGGGTGGCGTTTTCTCTCCTTGCCCTTCCACCAGGGCCCTCTTTGTACTGTTATTGCTATTTTTAATTATTGTTATTTTTTACAATAAAGGAGTAAAACGATGGCGGCGCGCTGTCCTCTGCCTCGCGCCGCCGTGACGTCAGCGGGCGTCGTGACGTCACCCGCGCGCCGTGACGTCAGCGCGCGGCGCGCGCCTGCCCCCTGCCGGGAGGAGATGGCGCTGGAGGGAGGGAGGGGGCGGCGCGGGGGCTGCTGGGAGGTGTAGTCCGTCCCGTGGTGCCCCGCGGCGGCGCAAGATGGCGGACCGGCGGCGGGCGGGGGCGCGCGCAGC